CTTTTTATTTTAAACATGAATATATCACTTGTATATAATTTCTTTTATATCTGCTCCTGTAGAAAAAAAAATCATTCACTGAATAATATGGGTGCACAGAAAGAGGATGGAAAAAATGAAAGAAGGAAAGAGATAAGAACAACAAATGGAATTAAGAGAGTGATAGGGGCTTCTGGGTGGTTCGGTCAGTTGAGCGTCCAACTTTGGCCTAGGTCATGATCTCACGGTTCATGAGTTCGAGCCCCACATAGGGTTCTGTGCTGACAGCTCAGAGCCTGGAGCCTGCTTCAGATTCTGTGTTTCCCTCTCTCTCTCTGCCCCTCCACAGCTTGTGCTGTGTCTCTATGTCTCTCAAAAATAAATAAAAACATTAAAAAGAAAAGGAGAGAGAGACTCCATGTTGGGTTGGATAGAGTTCCTAACCATCATGCTTTGTGTAGCACAAATCCCTAATCAAGTACCAGCACTAGCAAGTGAGGTCCATAGATCATCACCCCACTTCATTAAGACAAAGGCTTCAATTTTCACTTCCACAGTTGTCTTTTTGTTCACTGTCTATAAAATGATCAGCCCATGCCCTCAAGGTTTTTACTGTGGAGTTAGAGACAGTATTTCAACAGAATTGATGCCATATGGAAAATCCCAAGTTAGCTTTTATACAAGTGCAAAATAAAATATCCAAAACAGATGAGATGCTTGCAATAGTGGTAGGAACACAGGCTTTGGTGTTAAACAGTCCCAGGTTGGAATTTGATCTTTCCTACTTAGAAGCTGCAAAACCTGGTCAAGTCTGAATGCTTCTCAGCCTCCATATCCCCAATTGTAAATGAGACTGATAAAACCGCACTTGCTTCATCATTACGAGGATTGAATGGCACAAATGAGAAGCATGCAGCACCTTCGGCCCAGGGGTGTTAAGTAAATGAGATGTTCCCACTTCCTTACTATGTGCTGGCCTTGTACATAAAGCTTTATGTGTACATAGTATTGTTAAAACCATATAAACATGAGGAAGCTGAGGCCTAGAGAGGTTACCAGTCTTCCCAAGGACTCAGCCAGAAGTAGCAGGGCCATAATTTGGACTAGGAAATCTGACTCCAGAGGCCTAGCTCTCTGTCTCTACAGCCTCTCCTCAGCGTGAACCAGTAACCCACCCCCAGGGAAATGATGAATAGCTGGCTTCCGGAAAAGATGAGTTTTAGAAGTCATCGGTATTGGTAGACAGAGTCGCTGAGGTATTCTAGGGTGAAGGAATGTTATTTAAACATGCAGAGATAGGAGTGGAAGAGAAGGCACTCAGAACTGTGCCAACAAGCAGTTTTGCTGGCACAGCTCAAGAGCATTAAAATGTAAGAGGATATACAACGAAGAGATAAGAATCATGTGTATAATCAACTCCAAATTTTTTACTTAAAACAATAAACAGCAGTCTTTCATTGGTGACCGATTATTTCATCTAGTCCCAATTTTTTCAAAGTAAGAAAGAAGTAAAAACTTTTTGTGGCCTTGTCAAATAGATGCCTAAAACAGCTCAATGCAGTATGCGTTTTTATTATTCTGTCCTACCTTATCAACGATGTAAGTTGTAGAAAATAAATCCACTTTTCTTTTCGGTTCACCAGCCCACCTTTCTAATTTAGCTGTTGGCCCCCACCTCTCACATCTAGCACCCTCCGTTAGTGCAGCTGACCAGAACCATAACTTCACAACACAGTTTCAGCGCACAGGGCACATGGTAAGAAATGTGACCTTTTTCTATTGATAGGTTAGCGTGTCTAATGTTTTCTTGTATTTTCACTGATAACTTTAAGAGAAATCACAGCAGTCGTCAAGGAAAAGGGAAAATATAATGGGGAGTTTTTCACACAGACTCATGGACAAAACAGAACATTGGCATGGAGTTCAGCATTTGAGAAATAGTATATTTCTTTTATGTATAAGATTCACTATGGGGCGCCTCAGTGACTCAGCCAGTTAAGCATCCAACTCTATTTCACCTCAGGTCATGATTACATGGTTCATGAGTTTGAACCCCATGCTTGCTCTGACAGCATGGAGCCTGCTTAGAATTCTCTGTCTCTCTCTCTCTGCCCTTTCTCTGCTTACACACCGCTCTCTCTTGCGTGCACTCTCTGTCTCTCTCAAATAAATAAATAAACTTAAAAAAGAGAGAGAGTTTACTGAACACCAGAAAGTACTGAAGAGTTCTTAATTCAGGCTACTTTTTTTTAAATGTTTGTTTATTTATTTGAAAGAGACAGAGAGACAGAATGCAAGCAGGGGAAGGGCAGAGAGAGAGAGAGGGAGACACAGAATCTGAAGCAGGCTCCAGGCTCTGAGCTGTCAGCACAGAGCCCATTTTGGGGCTTGAACCCACAAACTGTGAGATCATGACCTGAGCCAGAGTCCGACACTCAACCGACTAGGCCACCCGGGCACCCCTGGGCTACTTTTATGGAATAAAAACTACATTTGATCTTTTTCTTCCTTTTAAGTATAAATGAAGCGAAACTTCCCATTTAACTTTTCTAATGTTGCAAAATTAAAGAAGTTTATGCTGGAAGTTAAGCTATATAAAAACCACATTAGTAGGAGTTCCATCTGATTCTCCCAGTCCAATGAAGGAAGGGTGTTTGGCCTCCAAACTTGGACCAGCATGACGCAGGACATTACCAGGAGCTTACATTAGCTTCTCCCTGCACCGCTTTCGTAAAACTGTCATCTTGGCAGTGTTGCTGGGACCACCTGAAGCCACTGACCTACCGTGTTTCCACAAAGCCATTCCCTTGAAACAGTTCAGAGAAACCAACTCTTGGCAGTGTAGACACTCCCTGTGTCTGGAAATTTCATAAACCAGAGTTAAAGCAAAGAATGCTCTAAAATCTGTTGCCGATACAGAATCTGCAATGTAAATCATCTGGATTAGGGAACCTCTACTGTCTTCTGGAAGCTGCCTCTCTAATGGCTCTAATAAAGAATGTTTTCAGGGGTGTCTGGGTGGCTCAGTCGGTTAAGCGTCCGACTTCGGCTCAGGTCATGATCTCAAGGTTTGTGGATTCGAGCCCCATGTCAGGCTCCATGCTGACAGCCAGCTCAGAGCCTGGAGCCTGTTTCAGATTCTGTTTCCCTCTCTCTCTGACCCTCCCCTGCTCATGCTCTCTCTCTCTCTCTCTCTCAGAAATAAATAAAGCATTAAAAAAAATTTTTTTAAATAATGTTTTCAGAAGCATGTGGTGATAAAATGAAAGTAATGAAAAAGATATTTGGAATCCAGTTGAGTCATCTGATTGTAGAACCTCTTAATATTTTCTTACGTTGCTTCGCTACTCCTGAATTTGCATAAGAACCTTTTTATGTATTTACTTATTTATTTAAGAAAGTAGATTTGGTTTGGATCTTTTTTTCTTGTCTTGTTTGTTATACTTGTGCAAGAAATATTTCTTTATGTTTGGCTTCATGTCAATTTAATTCTGATTCTGAGGTTCCACACTTCTGGACTAAGGCAGAATCAACCTCCGTCATTTCGGAGGCTCCTCGAGCTCTCAGGGTTCTGGCTTCCTCACAGAGCTCCCAGACATCATTGGTAGGCCCTGGACACAATCATCCGTCCACCCAGCAGTCATCAAGCCCATCTTACCCAAGCCTGCATGACCTCAAGTCTAGAAATCCTGCTGCTTCCAAGCCCCAGTGCTTGAGACACAGGCCTCCTTTCAAGGTGGGATCCATTGTGTGTGGCATCTGTCAACCTTGACCATTGCTTGCAGGGTCTTGCAAGCCAGTGTGTGTGCTGGGGATGGTGCGGAACAGCGGGGCACTGGGCAATGCAGGGCTCAGATCCGCACTTCTCATGGGACCCACAGATCTCTGTTTCTAGTCTCCATGCAGAAGCTCTTTTCCTTTCCCAGCAGCCCTCCAAGACACCTGGCATGATCCTTCCAGCATCTTATTGTTCAGGCCCTTCAGTTTGATAAGCAACAGAAAGAGCCAATGGCTTCTGGCTGCTTTAGTTTTCAGCTCCATAAAAACCCCCTACTTCACGTGAGTGGTGAAAGTTGTATGAACATATTCAATTGAATATTTTAAAAGTAGTCTCACCAAAATATTTGTACATATAATAGAAACATTTGGGCGTAGAGATGTACATTGTCTGCAAGGATCCTTAGGAAACTGTTGATGGTGATTATCTCTGGGGAGTGAGACGGAGGGGCCGACCAAAGAGGCAGTTTCTTTCTGTGGTTTACTACACCCTGTGGTAATGCTTGAGTTCTTTACATTGGTATGTGCTATTTTTATGATGATTAAAATTTAAGGTTATTAATTTGAAAAGATGGGAATTTTTGTTTTGATTCATTACCCGTGAAATACTTTCCTCAGCCTAAGCTTACCTAGCTTAGGTATTGTCCTGATTTTATGGCTCAGAATGGTAAGTTCAGGAGTTAATTTGCCCAAGATTACACAATGGGGGGTCTGAATTGGAACCCACGGCTGTCTTACACTTAGGTTCATGAACGCCCTTTCACCTGCCCCATGCTTCATTGTCCAGGGTCATTTCATTCCACTTAAGTTCTTTTCTTTCACTGCCCAAGTAATGAGGCCTAACAGACCCCATGCATCAGACCACACATCTATGCCAAACCCTTGAATACTAATAAATACTTGAAACCATGTTTCAAAATATACCATAAAATGTAAATAAGAATGACACACAGTTCACTTCAAGTTCATACACAGCAGCAATGTACAGGTTAACAGTAAAACATGGGGAAGTTTACCTTGAAATATTAGACAAAGCCAGTTCTAAAGGAATGAAATAAGAAACTTAGGAAAAATTAATTATACCTTGGAATATATTGTAACTGTGTATTTTATTTACCTTTAGGTCCCATAAAATATGACACTATTAGCAAATGGCACTTTACGGGTCACTGCCTATGGTTTGGTTGTTTGTGTAAGGAAGCATTTACGGTTGTTGAAAATTAATAAGAATTTGATTTTTCTAGGATGCTATAGTTATACATGAAGTCTATGAAGAAGGGGCAGCGGCCAGAGACGGAAGACTTTGGGCTGGTGACCAGATATTAGAGGTATAAGTCTATGAGTTTCATTTAATACTAGCAGATACAGTTTCTTACTGACCTTGATCCACAAAGTATTTACTCACTGTCTTGTACTCCACTTTATCCTCACTTATTTCTCCCCCATTAAGCAAAACATGTACCTTATTCTTTTTTTCTTTTTTTAATGTACAATGAGCAACTATCATCAGAATTGTGGCAGACATCAATCTAAATCTATGGAAACTTTTTGTAATTAAAGCAAAAGGTACAACCTATAGTTCTATAGTCTTAATGTCAAATGAGAGTGCATACATAGTATTGCAATTCGACTTGTTTTGCCTCTTCCTTAAACCTATCTAAATGCTCTCCTAAAAACAGACATATGCAAAAACATGGACAGCCAATGTTTTAAAGACTTCAGTGCTGTTTTAAGTATTGTTTTCTTACTCCTAATAAATCATTAAGTAAAATGCTTTCCGCTTTTATTTTCTAGTTGGTGAAAATGTAGAATCTTCTCCCTTTAGGTTGTACATGATACTTATTAATAAGTTGAAATGTTTAACTTGCCTCTTTCAAATGGATTCTAAATTAGCAAAGGTGTTAAACCTTTTTTAAAAATGCCAACGCAGGCAAGTGTCCGAACTAAGGAACGGATGAATGACAGGTCAATGCCAGGCATTCTGGTAGGTGGAACGAAAGAGCTTTTTTGATGATGTGAAACCTTTAGGCAACATTTATTTCTTTCATTGGATGAATTTAATTGAATAGTTAACATTTTATGGTGGGCATGTGCATTTTTGCTTTGCAACTTTAATATAGCCCATTATGAATGACATCATAGAATTTTATTTCCCCTTTGGTGGTTCAAGCTTGCCTCCCAAGATGAAACCACAGATATAATTAAGGGCAGAAAATATAGGCAAGAAGGAGTTAAAGGAGAGGCAGGCTCACTGCAAATTAAATTCAGGGTTTCTCTGCAGACCTTTACTGTGCTTCATCATTGGATTAGGACATATTCCCAGTACATTCATTAAGGTACAAGTGTATGAGGTTAGAAAAATAAGCGAGGCCTCTTTGGGAATTGGCTTGACTGCTTTTGCATACAACACCATTTTTTAGTAGTCAGGAGTTTTGAGGGATTTTTTTTTCTCCCTAGGTTTTCTAATTAACTGGTGTTATCATAATTGGCTTTATAAAATGAATAGATTGAATATTCAAAAGAGTACAGATGTATACATGCCTAGATACATGATTTGTAAGCCCATGGATTATTCTATAATGGTCACTTGAAACTAAATCTAATCTGTGCAGCATTTTCTTGATTATAGTGATGATTGCATAGGTATGAATCACATAAATTCACAATATAAATGATATACCTTAAATATAGTTTATTTCATAACACTTATACTTCAGTAACAAAAACTTTTTTAGACCTATTTGTATTGGATAGATCTCATCTGTAGCTGTTCTCTTTCATATTCATGTACAAGTGAATACTCAGGATAGGTTAACATGAAGAAGGCAATTAAGTGGAAGGAAAAATTGAAAACTCAAACCATTTCCTGGCATCCAACTGAATTATATTACCCAATATGGATGGATGGTCTATACTTCTCATTAAAGATGACCAGGACATAATGTAACTGTGAGTCAACTAAAAAAAAAAAATTTTTTTTAATTGATCAGGAAATTTTACCCCATGCAGTAATCTAGTCAACAAGAGTATGTCATGCGTTTAGTTAAGAAGTAGCTGTTTTGGGGGGTGCCTGGGTAGCTCCTGTCAGTTAAGCATCCAACTTCAGCTCAGGTCATGATCTTGCAGTTTGTGAGTTCAAGCCCCACATCAGGCTCTGTGCTGAGAGCTTGGATCCTAGAGCCTACTTCAGATTCTGTCTCCCTCTCTCTCTGCCCCTTCTCTGCTCACGCTCTGTCTCTGTCTCTCAAAAGGAATAAATAAACTTTTTTTTTTTTTTTTTTTTAAAAAAAGGTAGCTGTTTGGGGATGCCTGGGTGACTCAGGCAATTAAGTATACAACTTCAGCTCAGGTCATGATCTCATGGTTTGTGGATTTGAGCCCTGCATCAGGCTCTATGCTGACAGCTCAGAGCCTGGAGCCTGCTTCAGGTTCTGTGTCTCCCTCTCTCTTTGCCCTTCCCTCAATCACACTCTGTCTTTCTCAAAAATAAATAAAATTTTTTTTTAAATTAAAAAAAAAAAGAAGCTCTTTGGTGAAGTCATGTCATGTTTCCTTTCAAAGCAGCTTTAGACTCCACATTTGGACTTGGGCTAGTTGTGGTTGATGTGTACAGATGCATAATAATGCATAATCAGCCTGCGGCCTGCAGGTTTGCCTTGAGAAGACAGGCCAGCCTTGGAGGTACATTTCAAGACCATGAACCAAGACCACTGTACGTCAGTGCTTTCCAGACAATGGCCTTTCCGCTTATGAGAGTCCTCTACCTTGTCAGTTGGCCTTTCATGATTTTAATTCTATCCTCATGTTAAAATTAGGACAAGCCATGGGGCACCTGGCTGGCTCAGTCGGAAGAAAATGCCACTCTTGAATTTGGGGTCGTGGGTTTGAACCCCACGTTGAGCATAGAGATTAGTTTTTTAAAAATTGGGACAAGCTGGGTTTTGCTTACAAAGATATAATCCAGCATTTTTTAGTGTGGCAAGATTTATGATTCTATAATTAGCATGAACTGTCTTCTTTCTGATTCTCCTTTTAGAGTCCCTCATCCTACCCTAATTCTACCTCCATTATCCTCCTCTATTTTTGTGCAGGTGGGAGCAGAAAAAGCAGAGGTCTAATGCCTGGTTTTCCCTGTGGAATAAAATAGTGCTCCCTAGTTTGGTTCTTCTTTCCCGCTAAAGCAGTGGTTCCCCTACTTCCTTGTCCTGCCCAAGAAATGTGATACTCTCCCCTGGACAACTGGGGCCTCCTATGGCTCTCTGTCTCAAGTAAGGAGGCCAGCAATTACCACCCCTGCCCCTCTACAATCGATGCTCTAAATAATGCATATAGTGCTTCTGTAAGGCACTTAAGGCAATACATCACTCCACAATATTCGAGCTACACAGCGATATTTCTCTTATGATTACTGGTGCATTTAATGGTGCCTCGTGATAAGCAGAGGAGGAAATGAAAACTATGAACTTGGAGCAGATGTCTTGGATTTGAGCAGTCATCTTAATGCTAGAATTTAGTATAAATTGCTTTTATTATATTAGTTTCATGACAGTGCTTTTTATTGAAACTATAATTGTTAGGGCCTTTCAAAAGCTCTTTTAGAGGCTTAAGAGAATTCACCTGAAGTCCACGGAAGTAACTATTTTGCAGTTGAATAACAGAGGTGGTCTGGTGTGCCATCTATTGGAATACAGGAAAATAATCAGGTCAGACCACATTTTCTAGAGACATTGTTTTTTCCCTTTGTCCTGTGGATTTACCTCACAAACAGTAAGAATCCAGTCATGGGCCTAAAGTAACAGTGGATGCTGGCACTGACTGAAAACCACCCTGACTGGGGTTCCTTCGATTCCTTATAAAATACCAACTTCTAGCTTACATTCCACTTAACAGTGTACCAAGTCCTGTGCTGAATGCATTAGAGGGTTTATTTCACTCCATCCTCACAACACTAAGTAGATACTATCTCCAATTCATAAATGACCCAGTTGAAGCTTAGCTTGACTTATATAAGTTTTCACAAAGTAAGTTAGAATCAGCGCTCAAACTGAAGTCTCTCTGTATCTAAAACCCATACTTAACTGCTATTTGAGGTGTTGTTTTTGTTTTTGTTTTTGCTTTCATTATTATTTTTTAAAGTAAGCTTGGGGCGCATGGGTGGCTTAGTCGGTTAAGCGTCCGACTTTCGCTTAGGTCATGATCTCGCGGTTCGTGGGTTCGAGCCCCGCGTCGGGCTCTGTGCTGACTGCCAGCTCAGAGCCTGGAGCTAGTTTCAGAGTCTGTGACTCCCTCTCTCTCTGACCCTCCCCTGCTCACGCTGTCTCTCTCTCTCTCTCTTCTAGAAATAAATAAAACATTTAAAAAATAAATAAATAAATAAAGTAAGCTCTATGCCCAGTGTGGGGTTTGAACTCATGACCCTGAGATCAGGAGTTGCATGCTTGGGGCACCTGGCTGGCTCAGTCAGAGGAGCGTGCAACTCTTGATCTCAGGGTCGTGAGTTTGAGCCCCATATAGGGTGTAAAGATTATTTAAATAAATAAAACTTTAAGAAAAAAAGAAGAGTGCTCTGCCAACTAGAGCCTTCTAGGCACCCCTTAACCACTGGTTATAGTTAATCTAAGTGAGAACACAAACCCAAGTTATACCAGAAAAGAAAAAGCAGCTTGAAAATTAGGCTTAGAAGCATTTTTCTGGCTTATAGAATCAGCTTTAAATAATTGCTCAAAACCCACCTTCTCGAAGAAGGGTCCATTGCTCTCTTCTCCCTCTCTGTAACCACTCTTTAAGCCACAAGTCACGAGTCTTTGGAATGTTAGAATTGGAAAAGCCTGAGACCATCCCTCACTGTACAGATGAAGGAATGGAGGACCAGAGATAAGCTTAACTTGCCCAGGACACACAGGGATGGACGAGAACATGGAGTAGAAGCAGCATCTTGAGGGAACTCTTCCATTCTGTCATCCCCCTACCCTCTAGCCCACCCCTGGCCATGACCTGAGCCTAGTCTTCCCTTTGTATCTCTTCCTAGCTCTGACCTTGAGGGAGTGATTTATGATTCCCTTTGAGTCTTTGTCCTTTCTTCCCCTCAATTTCTCCTTTTTGTTAAGTCCACTAATCTGCATCAGTACTTGACTTTCTCTGTGGCAGGGATCAAATAAACTCATTCTAAGAGTACATTGAAGCACAATGGTATAGAGACTAAGGATGGGAAGATAGTCTGGATTCAAACCATGACTCCTGTACCTGCTAGCTGTGTAACCTGGGTCAGTTCTCTTTCGCCTCTCCGTGACTTACTTTCCTCATCTGTAAAATGGTAATGGTACCCATTTCAGAGAGTTAGTATAAGGATTAAGTGAGTAAATATTTATAAAGGGCTAATACACAAGCACTACACAAACATTTGTTAAGTAAAAAATACATTAGCTATGATCTCCATTTAGCAGACAAGGAAACAGAGACTTACTGAGAGCCCACAACTTGTCCAAATTCACATGATTTGCCAGGAGTAGAGCCATCACTTTACTCAGTGCTGTTTCCAGTACAATTTGCTTCTAATTCATGGTCCTATTTGTGCTTGCTCAGATCCAGGTTCAGAAGGGTATACTTCAGGGGGGTTTGACACTGTCAGAAATACTGGTCTCTCATTTTTTTTTCCAACTTATTCTAAAGAACTTGTAATGTTTGTAATTAAGAGTAAAGATGTCAAATTCAATAAGCAAACTGAGTCTTAAAATTGCTGACCAAACACTAATGTTTATTTCCCTTTTGACCTCAATTAAATGAGCCAGTTAGTCCCTTCCACCCCTCCTGCTCCCTCTCACCCTCCCTCCCCAACTACGTTGATTCCGTAGGAAAGCTCACAGCTTTGCAAAACAGCATTATTGTGTGTCCTGAGCACCCTCTGTGCTTTTGGGATGGGAGAAGATAAGGGCTACCTCCTTTATACATGAAGCAGCTACTACTGCTAGTAGTCACTGCCTGCCTTGGGGATGGCTGGAGATTTCTAGAGGTTTGTCACTGGTTGGATTAAAGAACTCCAGATGGAGCAGGCATGGAGGTCTGTGCCATCAGCAGCCCATCTCGGATGTCCATTGTTGCAGGTTAACGGGATTGACCTGAGGAGCGCCAGCCATGAAGAAGCCATCACAGCCCTGAGGCAGACCCCCCAGAAGGTGCGGCTGGTGGTGTATAGGGATGAGGCACACTACAGGGACGAGGAGAACCTGGAGATTTTCCCAGTGGATCTGCAGAAAAAGGCTGGTCGAGGTCTTGGCCTGAGCATTGTTGGGAAACGGTAAGGAAATACTGTGCAAGTTAGGACAGATTAGCCTTTCCCTACAGAGCTCTAGGGAGCCTACAAACACCGAAAGATAAAGTCTCGTGTAAACTAATGATATGGTTTCTAAAACCAACCTATTTATAAATATTAGAATGACATCGGTCATATCTCTGAGCAAGACCTTACCTCCGCCCCCAAAAAAAGTGTGCCCTATGAAGATAGAATCTGAAGCCCAATCAACTGAGACTGTATTTGTTCCCATATAGAGTAAGAAGAGACTCAAAAAGGTTTTTACACTTGGGAGTCACTTAGATCTGAGGTTTTCATACCCGAGAAATAGCTAATATCAAGAGATAGGCTTTTACAGAGTTGGGTTAAGAAAATTCCAGGGCGCCTGAGTGGCTCAGTCAGTTAAGTGTCTGCCTTCAGCTCAGGTCATGATTTCACGATTTTTGGGTTCGAGCCCCACATCAGGCTTTGCACTGACAGTGTAGAGCCTGCTTTGGGATTCTCTCTCCCTCCCTCTCTGCCCCTCCCCTGCTTGGGCTCTCTCTCTCTCTCTCAGAGTGAATAAACTTAAAAATTAAAGAAAAAATTCCTCTGCCATGGAGTACCATGTTAATCATATACTGTTAACCACATCTAGTTGGCGAGTTTCAAAAACTAGCCAAATACGTGTAGTTGAAAGACAAATTCTTCATGACAGTAGTTTTCATTAAGAAAGATATCCCCAAAATGTAACTTCCACCAAAAATGTGGGTAGATCCTGTTGGCTAGACTTTTCATTTGAAGTCTATGCCACTTACCCATATGATGGGCATTATAGAATGTCAGTAGATTAACATGATTACTTGCTGTGTATTCCACCAGGGCTGCAAGATTGCCAGGTGATGCCCCAATATGGCCTTAAATGGTTATCAACAATCATCTTAGGGAGCATTGAAGCTGGTTTTATATATATTACATCCTGTGCCCTCAAAGACCTCTGATGGCTAGCCCAGTGCTTTTTTTCCATCAGTCCAAGCTATTATTAAAATGAAAATATTAGACAGTTTTTGAGAGCACTGATTTCATGCCAAGTACTGTGCTGTCCTGATCTCATTCTTCAGCACTGTTAAATCATCACTCTGAAAATGCATTACAAATCAAAAAAAGCTGAGACTCCTATTTCTAAAGAAATTCACTGCATACCTGGGCGCAGAGCACCTGACAGAGCCCATGTTGAAGTTTGCTTGCCTATGACACATACATAAGCCTGGCGAGATTTCACTTAGAGTAATGGTTTTTACTTTATTGTCTCATAGTGGATTGATAAAACCACCTTCCTACAACACTAGTATTTCAGATTGAGTCTGTAAGGAACATTCACATTCCTTGGCCCAAAAAGTTCCATTGTAAAGGATCAGGTGTATAAGCTCTCCAATTCGTTGACTTAGCAATTCCACAACTAGAAGTATATCCTAACAGTATTCTTGTAGATATGTACCCCATTGCCCATTGTTTGCAATAGCTAGTGAAGGATGATAATCTCTATATATTTTTGTCACTAGTTTACTCATCATGAAATTAAGGAACCTCTGCAAATCGTATACAGCCTTAAAAAACAATGAGGAAGCCCCAGGTGCTTTCTCCACTTTTTAACCTCTTGCATTTGAGACTTACAAATTTATTTACTCCTCATATAAATAATGATAATTAAAACCTTAATAAAGACAGGAAAAGGGAGAGTGATAAAGTAGAAAAAGATCAGATACTAATAAGTGAGCTAATCTATAAGGAGATGGCTTGTGCGTTTAAAGAGTACTTAACTCTAGGGGCACCTGGGTGGCTCAGTTGGTTAAGTGCCCGACTTTAGCTCAGGTCATGATCTCACAGTTCATGAGTTCAACTCCACATCAGGCTCTATGCTGACAGTGTGGAGCCTGGAGCCTGCAGCCTGCTTTAGATTCTATATTTCCCTGTCTCTCTGCCCCTCCCCTGCTTGTTCTCTCTATCTCTAAAAAGTAAAGATTAAAAAAAATTTTTTTTAAGAGTTCTATACTTTTTAAAGTGAATTTCCGGGGCGCCTGGGTGGCTTAGTCGGTTAAGCGTCCGACTTTCGCTTAGGTCATGATCTTGTGGTTCGCGGGTTCGAGCCCCGCGTCGGGCTCTGTGCTGACTGCCAGCTCAGAGCCTGGAGCCTATTTCGGAGTCTGTGTCTCCCTCTCTCTCTGACCCTCCCCTGTTCACGCTGTCTCTCTCTCTCCTAGAAATAAATAAAAAATATATTAAAAAAATAAAAAATAAAGTGAATTTCCATTTCATTTCACTAAGATTATCCTCTTACAGAAATGATGCGCTTGGGCCAATAAAAATGAATTTTACAGTGGGCAGCATAAATAGATATAAACTATTTAAGAGGCAAACACTCTGAGGTTTATCATTTGGGAAGTTAGTGGGTATAATTGGATGAGACAGCTTTCTAGGACCATTCCTCCAAGCTTTAGGATTTAGTGAAACTGTGTAGAATGTCAGTAATCTCAGACTTACTAAAGAAATACTAAATTGTGCCATTACCCACTGCTCTATGGTATTCACAGAAACGGAAGTGGAGTGTTTATTTCTGACATCGTGAAAGGTGGAGCCGCAGACCTTGATAGGAGATTGATTCAGGGAGATCAGATCTTATCTGTGAATGGGGAGGACATGAGAAATGCCTCACAGGAGACAGTGGCCACTGTCCTCAAGGTGAGTCCCCAGGCTGCTTTCTGCCTGGCTGGTCTAACTCAAGTCCGGGGGGGACAGTTCTAATCTAGCTTGGTTATAAAATGGGTTAGACTTTCTGCCAATTTGAGTTATAACTAGAGATCTAATCTCTGATTGCTTTAACCCATCATAAATAGCTTTACAAGAAAGCTGTTACAATAACTAACAGGACTGAGGAGAAGCCTCTTTGGGGAGGTTTTATACCTGTAAGAATCCAAGTATCCACAATTATCCTCAAGTGCATTAGATGGTATAAGTTCTCCTGGAATCACAAAATTCCTCTTCTCTCTCTAATGCTGTATTGTCATGAATTTACCCAATCCAGCTTTTATTGCTTGAGGGACCATTAAAGATGATCTAGACCAATTCCTCTGATTGACAAATGAAGTTTGAAAAAGTAGAGCAGCATGTCCAAGGTAACAAGGGTCTGCTTGAGTGGTTTTCTCACCATCCAAGCTGTTCTTCCCTGAAGTCATAGGAAAGCTAGGGTTCAGGATTCCTTTCCTTCCAAGTGTCTCTGCCACATGGACCCTAGCTTCCTGGGAAGAAATGGATTAATAAAAATTCCTGTAACTTCCCATTCAACTATAACCAGCTGCATCTTATGCTGTTTCACAAATAGCTGTGGAAGCTTTTGCAAAGACAAATGAACTTTGTTTATTTCAAATTCCTGATTTTCTAGTTTAGTCAACTTTCAGTTGTGACTTACGAGAGAAGTTATTTGTAGATTTTCTCTGTGTCTGATTTTTCTGTCTTCCTTTCACCTACTTTTCCTTAATTATGTCGCTGCTCATGAGTACTTTCATCAGAAGGGAAAAGGAAAAGAGGTGAATTGAAATGTATTCCTTTTACCATATTTTAAAAAGTCGTGAAGTAATGACATGAATACACCTGAGTTGGGAAATATTTGTTATTTTGTATGATTTTTTGATGACTGAGTTTCCTTTATGCCTGTAGCTTTCATCACCCATTTACAGTTGTTGGCTGCAGGGATGAATGGAAGCCCCACCGCAATAATTTAGAATATAGATGCTGTTTTTCACCTCTTGTCTTGTCTTCCCAAGTGTGCACAGGGGCTGGTGCAGCTAGAGATTGGAAGACTCCGAGCTGGTTCCTGGACCTCCGCAAGGAAGACGTCACAGAACAGTCAGGTTGTTGATGGCTCCCTGTCACACTGACTCACCTGTCCCCACTGAGAGAAAGTCCCCATTTCATAAGTGGTTGTTTGGAAATAATGTATAATATACAGCATATTCACAATATACCAAGTTCAGTACATTTTAATGTGTTTGAAATAAAAATGAAAGGTGGGATGGAAATTCATTAATCCCTAGATTTTTCTCTCCTTTATTGCCTGCCAGTGTTTTCTTAGAACTACTTTTCTCGTCCACTATTAGTTCTCTATTGCCTGTGCTTGCATGTACACAGCTGTGTTTATTTAAAAAAAAAAAAGAAACAAGCAACATCTGGTGGCAATTTGACCCTCATTAGCACAACATTGTTCTGTTCATTCAATTAAATATTGCTATAAAGTTAACTTGTGAATAGCCACTCACACATGCTGAGGGCAATTAATGGTATAGTCCTAAGAAAGCTAAGTGTGGGGGGTTATCCTATGAGAGAGAGGCCTTAATGAGTGACATTTTGTAGGTTAGCAAACATCTTATGTTTATTTGCAAAGCTGATGTAAGTGCCATTTTTTTTTTTTAACAAAGTATATTTCAAAGTTTTGGGGTTTTTTATTTTGTTTTCATTATAATGGCTGACAAAATCAAGATGGTAGACTATATGTTTAGTCCCATTTGGTAAGTAATGAAACTGTAGAAACCTACATGTGACCTCCAGTCCCTTTGTGGATTATAGGTGGGCCTTTGTCTTGGGGTTAAAACTTTGTCTTGAGTTTTGGTCCCCTCCCTGCTTGCCATAACCTCTCCTAGGCCTTTTTCAGAAGTCATTCTGAGTTTGTGGTTAGCACACAGGTGCTTCTGGAATGCTATGAACTGCTTCTTCTGCCTCATTGGTGTTAGAAAATGGGTGAAGAAAAATACCATTGTTCAGATAGAATCGCAGACTGGGTGTCTTGCCTTAGAGAATCTTCAAAGCAGTGAAACCCAATAAACATCATGTTAAGTTTAGAATATTTTATCTCTCATTTATGGCCTATGCAATGAGCAGGAAATATCATGTACTAAGACACAGCACTGCCGTGGGACTCCAGGAGTAAATGGTTGATAATGATTCTGAGCAAACTTGTATCAACAGTCTGCTGTTGCATCAGATGCAAAATAGTCATCTCAGCTTCTTCCTTAGTGGAAGATTCACTTGTTGAGTGATTTCACTAATGACTAATTCACTAATCTAGCAGAAGGTTAGATTATCCCTGAACAATCCCAGGGATAAAATTTTTCCTCCTTGGAGGGTATGGGAAGGTGCCATAAAGGAGGCCCCTTTGGGTCTCACTACAAAAGGAGTTTGATAGGTTGAAAAGAGGGAGAAGGTCACAGACAAATGGAATAACATATACAGAAGCACAAAGGGATACAAAATTCCAGTGCTGTAAGAAAAGTTTGAATTGAAGGATGACGTAGTAGGTAAAACTAGATTTCTGCCCTTGAGCATGTATAAGAATGTCTTAAGTGATTAATAAAGTTCACACTCAGGTTAAATACAGAGCTGACAAATTCAGAAGCTCTATTATTAAATGTCAATAAAACCATCATCACCATTTTTCTGATATATAAATGTGAGCTGTTCTATTTTGGAAACCTGTGACAAAGCATCGAACACTTTTATCTTACCTTCTGGAACAGAATTTTTACTTCAAAGGGTAGAAGTTTAACTCAATTTTAAGAAAAACAGTAAGTGTGTTTTATCCTCACTCGGTCCTTAAAATCTTGGCTTAGATTGTATGAGAAGCTGCAGTGATATTCGGCTAATTGGAAGAAGTCTTATGGCTGGTTGTGAAAAGGAATGTTCTCCACCATCATAAATTGAAGACCAGCCCATGACCCAGCTATAGAAAAAAAAAGACCCCATTCCCAAACCTGTTTGAAAGCAGTCAGGACTCTCCATAGGCACAGATTTCATTCTGGGCAATTATAAGATGAGGAGATAAATGTCTTCCTTTGAAAGCCAAGGAAAATTATAATTCATTGACTTGGCCTAGAGAAAGTAGCTTCATTAAGAGAGATCCTCCATCTTTGGGGTCACCAAGCCTCTTCTTTTATTTATTTACTTTTTTTTTTTTAAGAATAGAATTGAAAGTAGCTGAAGGACAGCTCATAGGAAATAAGACTTGATTAATAATTTAGAATTCACAAGTCTTCTTTTCAATGTTTATTTTTGAGAGAGAGCGTAAATGGGGGAGGAGCAGAGAGAGAGCAAGAGAGAGAATAGCAAGCAGGCTCCATGCTGGTAGCTGACACAGGGCTTGATCTCACAAACTGAGCTCATGACCTAAACCAAAATCAAGAGTCAGATGCTCGACCAACTGGGCCACCCACGTGCTCCAAGCTTTTTTTAAAATGTCTTTTCCCACCAACCAGAAGAGAGTATCTTTCCTCTGCAGAAGAGACTGTGTAATGGAAAAACACTTGAGAAATCTTTTCTTCAGGTAACTGAGGCAATACTACCAGGCACAGTTCATATTTATAAAGGCCTTGACAAACACCTTGCGCTAAGATGTTTTAGGCAAAAGTAATAAAATGCTGTACTTCCTCAGTTCTGAGTATTATCGTACTATTGATTTAAATCCTTTCAGGAAAAATATAAAAACACCCCTTTAAATATACATATCCATTGTGAAGTGTTTTGATGTCTATAACTTACTTTGAAACAAATTTTTAAAAATTGATGAATAGGGGTGCCTGGGTAGCTCAGCTGGTTGAGCATCTGACTTGATTTTGGCTCAGGTCATGATTTCAGGGTATGAGATCAAGCTCTGGGTCAAGCTCCATGCTTGGCATGGAGCCTGCTTAAGATTCTCTCTCTCCCCCTCTACCCCTCCCCACCACTCACACTCTCTCTCTCTAAATAAATAAAAATAAACTTACAAAAAATTATATTGGGGCTAGGTAGCTCAGTCAGTTAAGCATCCAACTTCTGCTCAGGTCATGATCTCACGGTTAGTGAGTTTGAGCCCCAAATCTGGCTTCACACTGGCAAAGCAGAGCCTGCTTAGGATTCTTGCTTTCCTCTCTCTCTGCCCCTCCCCTGCTCATGCTTTCTTTTTCTTTCTCAAAATAAAATTAAATAAATAAAACTTGAAAAAAATTTTTAAATAATTTAAAAAATTGATAGATAAAGGATATGTAATAAAGAAAATACAGCAAAATATTGACTGTGGAATTAAGTGGCATGCAAATTAATGTCTATAATTCACCTTTTCTGTATATTCTATGTTCTTTTAAGTATATTTTGAGAGAGAGTGCATGTACACATGTCCACACATGAGTGGAGAGAGGCAGAGAGAGAATCCCAAGTAGGCTTTGCCTGACAAGGGGCTCAATCTCACAACTGTGATAGCATGACCTAAGCTGAAATTAAGAGTAGGATACTTAACCAACTGAGCCACCCAGGCATCCTTATATATTTTCATATTTAAGGAATCTTAAAATATTGAACAACTTGCATGATGAAACTAGGAAAATGGATCAAATCATAACTTATATAATTTTGAAGCATAATCTTAAAATTTTGATAGAAGACCTTCTTTAAAAATTTTTTTTAATGTTTTTCTTATTTTGGGGACAGAGACAGAGCATGAATGGGGGAGGGGCAGAGAGAGAGAGAGGGAGACAAAAAAAGCAGGCTCCAGGTTCTGAGATGTCAGCATAGAGCCCGACGTAGGGCTCGAACCCACGAACCATGAGATCATGACCTGAGCCGAAGTTGGGCGCTTAACTGACTGAGCCACCCTGGCGCCCTGAAAACCTTCTGTATTCTTTTGGTTATATTATTTTCTTTTTATTTTTTTTCTTCTGTTATATTATTTTCTGCATTGCAAGGGTCCTCCATGGTGTATATGACTTTCATTGAATAGCCACTAACTCTACATGATGATTCATTATAGATCTCAAATATGTATTTAAATGAATAAAAGGATACTAATGGAAGTGTAACAAATTGGGCTGAATTACTACTGACACCAGGAAAATCTATGAGAAAAAAATTTTTAGCCCATTCCTAAAACAACATATTCCCTTGGTAATTTGCTGCTTTCTCCTTCAACTGAGGAGAAAATGTCTGTTAAGATTTTATTATAGTTGTTTTATGTTAAGATTTTATTATAGTTGTTTTAGCAAAATTGATCATGCAATTTGGGTAAGAAGGTAATAAATATTGACTGTAGACCCAAATGACACGTATAGTGCCATGAACTGATCATATATGTAAACACTATGTAACAACCTAGGAAAATTTCTGATATCATGTGGAGCAAGAAAAGCTTAAGTTATTACGTGGTTTCAGGGCAGCGGGGTGGCTCAGTCAGTTAAGTGTCCAACTCTTGATTTCAGCGCAAGTCACGATCTCATGTTGCATGGTTCAAGTCCTATATCACGCTCTGTACTGACAATGCAGACAGAGCTTGCTTGAGATTCTCTCTCCCTCTGTATATATAATTTTTTTAATGTTTTATTTATTTCTAGGAGAGAGAGAGACAGCGTGAGCGGGAGAGGGTCAGAGAGAGAGGGAGTCACAGACTCTGAAACAGGCTCCAGGCTCTGAGCTGGCAGTCAGCACAGAGCCCGACGCGGTGCTCGAACCCACGAACCGTGAGATCATGACCTAAGCGAAAGTCGGACGCTTAACCGACTAAGCCACCC